TAAGAGATGTTTGGAAGAATAAAAACCCTGAAACTATTATGGTATACAGATGGATCTAAAATTGAACAACAACAAACGGACCAGATTTTGACTTAGCAAAACCTCTAGGGACCACACCATAAATTTTCCAAGTTGAGATCCATGCAATAGAACTCTGAGTACAAGAAATATTTTTAAAAAGTGTTAAAATAGATAAGCATATTTTTAGACAGTCAAGCAGCACTTAATACCTTTAAACTTCTCTGTCTTCAACTGAAAGCTAGTGCCAATCTGTAGTTCCTGGGAAAACGTAATCAGGTAACTCTAATGTGCGTACGAAGGATTTGAAGGAAATGAACAGGCTGACAAATTAGCAAAGGCAGGGACAGTTTAATTATTGGACCGGAAACGTAAATTGGCACGCCACAAACACACTGGATAAATTCACCAGACAATCAAAAGTTCCGCAACATCTCATCCAGGAAAACAAAATTGACCTCTCTCTCAGTAGAGTAGAATTAAAGAATATAGTAGGTGTTTACGCCAATGTAAACAATTTTTTATTATAGTTGATCATTTAAGTTTATATATTTTTCTTCCTTTCATACATGTTAAACACGTAAAAATAAGAACAGGCAGGAGGGAGAGAAACACGTAATTTTCCAGCGAGTCGTCCTTAAAACGGCCAGTCGCTCCCAGGCTTCTATCCGGTACGTACGAACGTACCTTTGGCTTTCATCAGTCCAGTTGCTCCCAGGCTTCTATCCGGTACGTACGAACGTACATTTGGCTTTCATCAGGCCAGTTGCTCCCAGGCTTCTATCCGGTACGTACGAACGTACCTTTGGCTTTCATCAGGCCAGTTGCTCCCAGGCTTCTATCCGGTCCGTACGAACGTACCTTTGGCTTTCATCGGTCCAGTTGCTCCCAGGCTTCTATCCGGTACGCACGATCGTACCTTTGGCTTTTATCCGGCGAGTTGCTCTCAATTTGCCTTCCTGTACGTACCTTCTGATTTTCACTCTGCAGTGAGTCGACATCGAGACGCACTAACGTCCGAATTCTTTCTTCTTTAATGTTTTGTATTAATTTATATAGATACATTTGTTTTTATTAACTTTGCTTATATCCCTGGTAGCGCCCGGACTTGGAGGGTAGATGTAAAATACTTATCCAGCCGGCGTCTACAGAACATCAGATTACCCTTATTATGATGAATAAGACATTGCTTATTTAAAATTAATGCTTATTTAAAAAATGGACATGCTGATTCTGTCATGTAGAAGAAGAGTCATCAGAGCATGTCCTTTGCAGCAAAGCTTTGGCCCGGAAAGGCAAAAGAAGATATTATCGTCCAAAGAAATAAGCGAAGAGGAACACCAGAAAGCGATGCACTTTTTGATGCTTGTAAATAAAGAAGGGTCAAATTCACAATAGATCTTTTAAGTCGCAGTAGAATAAAGGGAAACTTTGCTCACCAATGACCCCGAAAAAAAATGTCCAGGAACCCAGACTGATCAGGCCCAGTGAAAAATGAGGCCCTGATCGGACATATCAAGAAACATAATGCATTTCTATCTAATAATTCTATTTAAAAAAAACCTAATAATCCAGAAGATTAGCTAAAAAAAGAACTTATTTTAACCAGCAGTGAAAAACGAGCAATCTTGAGGATCGCTTCAAATTCCTGTTTGTCATCTTGGAAAACTGCTCAAAGAGCTGGAGTGTCAACCAACAGAAAAAAGTAAAGGGAGACATAAATGATGTCATGCACATCCAGAGGAGGAAAATGAAACGGATACCACAGCTAAATAAAGTTCATAAGGAACGCCATAAACAGTCCGCTTGTGGTATACAGGAAGGAGGATAGAGAAAAATCCTATTTTCAGATGTAACATAAACCTTAACGGCCCTGATGGCTGGGTATATTATTTCCGTGATTTACTTAAAGAAGAAATGGGTTTTCGAAAAGTCAAGGAGGCGGAGGAAATGTGATGGTATGGGTGGCTTTATACTACACCAAGTGAATAATTTGTATCCAGCAGGACATGCTCCACTCCATACAGGGAAAATGGTAAAATCCTTTTGTCAAGTAGGGAAAAAAAACAAGTTTTGGATTGGCCAGCTAGGGCTATTATTATTATTATTATTATTATTATTAGCTACAATAACATAATAGGGTGATAAGCCTATTATGCTTTATTACTGTTAGAGTAGAGAACACTCCAAAAAATTCTCCCAAGCTCTGAGGATGGCGAAATGTCGAAATGCGTCTGAACCGACAAAAATCAGTAAGGATAGGCAGACCAAGATAGATAACTCTCAAACAATAGAAAGAAATTTTCTCAGGATGCTCGTCGCCTTTACGACCTTCTAAATCGAATGCAAACTGGGATGAAGAAAGGTGGAGCCTATTTATGATTTAAAAAAATAATGAAAAGAATAAAATTTAAGATATTATACCTAGAATATTAGGTAGGCTATCTTTTTGCCCCTGACCTTAGCTTTTGAAAGACACGGTGGAATTGATGTGTTTGTCTTTTTCTGCCTTGGAGTATTGACGTTTTTGTATTTTGATAGAGAATATATTTAGGTTTGGGCGTTCTGTATTGTTGGTTCGAGTATGAGCACCTCGAAGAAAGAATTGAGCGGTCCGAAGGTGAAATAATAATTTTTATGTATGTAGTTCACTGTGTCAAGGATCGCGGTTGCCGAGATGTTAGGACGTCCGACTTGTATTTGGCCATGCTAGCCGTTTGGGTTAGATTCCCGGCACAGCCCATGGTTTTTTAATTGAGAACAATATAATGCGACAAACGGGTAGTTGGACATCGCCCTTCTGTATGACAGGAGAATCACCAGGTCAAGGTTTTTGAGTCGTAATGTGGTGCAGATTTTTTAAGATTATTATATTTTCTTTGTTAATTACACAAAACTTTGTGGTAACACACAACTTCGTGTGCGTGTTCTAGTCAGAATAAACCATTTTGAAATCTTGTCACGCAATCATGAGTAAATTTCTTTAGTTTTTCCACTGGATTATATTAAATAATTTGGGTCATTGTCAAAAATACATACCCACTGTGTAACCATTTGTCACACGAATCCTTGCGTGGGGAGACAAGGGTGGGTCTGGAATACCAGAAATAGATAGGTTTAAAATAAGAAAATAGCAGTATGCACCCTTTTTATGACAATGTCGACCCGATCGGGTGAGACGGTATTAATCGAAATTTATATTTTACGATTGACGCGATGAAAATAGTGATTGTGTTGTACGAATTGAAGATTTTTTAATATGCCAGGTTCATAACGGTTGAATAACGGTGGAGTAACAAATGAATTTGCACTAATCTGTTCTGAAAATAGAATTTAACACCTGTACCGGACTTAACACAGTCGAGCTTCACTGTTAATCAATAACCAAATAAACCAACATTTGCTAATGTTTTTTGTTTTAATTTAAATTATTTTTAAAACAATGTTACAAGATGTCTATATATGAAATATTACTGTTTTTTAAAGTTTCTTTCCCCGGCATGAAAACAATACGGGGCGATAATAAAATATGGGGAAAGGTCAAAAGGGAATCAGGTCATTCCAGATGATTCTGCAATAAACTCCCAACATGAAAAACGTTAATCATCGAATCAAAAAATAATTTTGTGTTGATGCATCTACCAAATTCAAGCTTTCAATCAACTATGGTAATTTTTTTTGGATATAAAATAATAATGGTTATTGTTTATTACCCATTGATAAGGCCTGATGTTAGATTTGCCGGAGTGTGGCTCAACCCGAAAGAGTGAAAAGCAATTATTTAACATACTTTTATTTAATTTTACGCAACTTGTATTTTATGATTCTATATTGGGAAAGAGGAAACAGTAAAATTTATGACTAAAAACTATAGTTTTCCCGTTATGTTGGTTACAACATAACATTAATTAAGACATACATATATGAATTACAAATAACGACTTGATTCAATGATTAACGTTTTTCACATTGGGGTTTTATTGCGCCCCAATGTGAAAAACATTAATCATCAAATCAAAAAATAATTTGGTGTTGAAATATCCATCAAATTCATGCTTTCACTCAACTATGGTAATTTTTCTTCGATATAAAATAATAATGATTGTTTTATTAACCATTTATAAGGCCTGATGTTAGATTTGTCTAAGGGTTGGAAAACATAAAAGAGTGAAAAACAATTAACATTACAGAACTTTAATCAATTAAACGCAAGTTGTATTTTGTGACTTTAAATTTGGAAAAAGGAAACCGTTAAATTTCTGACTACTATAAACTATAGTTTTCCCGTTATGCTGGTTATAAAGGCACATTTACACCGCCTGCAATCAGCTTGCTATAATCGCAAATCATACTGTTTCATGAAATCTGTACGACGTTTTTTGTTCTTTCATATAAAAATAAACATTAATTAAGATATAAACATATGTATGAAATGTAAAATTAGTTTTTTAACTATTGCGCTGTATATTTAGTACCAATAAATTACCTAAATTTAATCGAAAATCTCTAGTAACTTTACGAAGAACAATTAATTAAGGTTTTTTTTATAATTGTAATATATTAATTGGTCAAGCGTCCCACGAAATTAGTGAATTTACGAGGAACTTTATTAACCAACTACTGTTCCTTCAGACCTTCCTGCATTTCGAACCTGACAATTTTCAAAAAAACTCGACAAACCCGCTTCCAAGTTGAACTGATTGAGAAAATGGAATGTTTTTTCACGTCTTGGTCGTTTCCGAACATTATGATCCGCCTGAACTTGCCATCGTCAGAGGATGCTTTTGAAAAACATTTTCATTTAGAAAGCGAATAAAGAACAAAACAAGGACCTGAGTGGCTGTCTTGGTATCTTGCCTCACCCTGCTTATATCCCTAAAAAATAATGAAAATGTCATTTTGTTATTGTCTTTTTTTACTAGCTTATTGATTGAGTCTATGCTGTTCTTGTTACTTCAAAATAATGAATTGTACATTTTTAGGGTTTACAAGTATGGCGAAAGATGACAGCCCAACATAGCGAGGATAGGCGGACCAGAATGATCAAAAACGACCAAGCTAATCTTCATTTTAACTTTCTTCATTGAACACGGTTATCAAAAATAATATTAGTTAAGGTAATATTTTGTAATATAAGTTTAAAATGTCATTTTGTTTTTAAAATTGTTCACCATAGGAATAAAATCATTTCAGTAAAGTTCCTTATTTTTTATCTAATAGTTAGTCGTTTACGTATCAACAGGTACAACCCAAATAGCAATTTTTGTTTTGTTTTTATTGAATCTTTTATTTATAATTATTACAATTATTTTTGTCTTATTTATCAGAAGGCTTATAAATTTTTTGTGCCGATCATGATAGTATTATTATAAAAGGTTTTTAGAAAAGGTAGTTTAAAAAAGCTTTCATATAGTATTAGAATGTTGATATTCAAGCGAAAAGCCCCAAAAATAATAAAAAATAATCCACATTAATAGAAACCAGGAAAAAATAGAGAAAACATAATTCTATATTTCAAAATGATCTCTGTGTGGCCAAAAACGATAGGAAAAATACACACAAACACAAAAATATTTGTAACAAAGTCCATTTTCGAGTACAATAAAAAAATTATATATTAATAAAAATGACAACGATCATGTCACAAGTACCAAAACGTAGGGTTTCATAATGCACTTAGTAAGTACTGTTCCTTGTAATTAAGCCTAAAAAAATTGCTAAAAGAAAACTGGACAACACAAATGAAAACGACAGCGAAATAAGGGGAAATTTAAAAAATATAAATTGTCTTAAATGGCTCAAAAAGAATAATTCTTTTAGTAAATATAAACAGTTAATCGCAGTTAATGTCAGCTTAGATGATTTCACGATTGAATTGATTTCACCGTCATAATTTCTTAAAATTAACATTTCATTTTGAACGTGACATTCCAACATTTAATTAAATCTGTTAAATTGTTCAAGTTGTATGCTTAAATTTAGAAGAAAAAGAACTAGAAGAGGAGTATTTTTTATCCTAGTGGATTGCTACACAAAAGATTAATTTTTCCATGTTGATATTACGTGTATTTGCCTTACAAAACATAGCAAATATGATAATTTTATACCAACATTTGGGTAAAATCGAAACCGATCCTGTAAAATTTGGATGTGGGTCTCGTTTTATTTATTTCATTGAAGGTGAAACAACAAATAGGAATAATTTATCTCTCGTACAATGCAAAACGCATAAATAGACAAAGCTCACCGTCAAAAATACAACTGCAGCTGATAAATCCATAGCGGGTCACATCACACTAATCGCACCATGGGTAGAACGGGTATTCCCAGAAACTGAAGACGTTTCGACGTCCTCCTGCAGCGGCCGGGGGCATACTGGAGAGTGGAGTGTAGTCACTAGTCAGTAGTGTTGTTGTTTGGTGTCTGTTGACTCCGCGCAACCGCGACCCCCTCCTTAAAGTCGAAACGGTCAACTCCGCATTTCTGCATGTATGATGTATCAACATATGTTGCTTTCAACACTGTTTAACTGTGTATAGTTCCTTTCAGCTTGCTTTTAATTATTGAGGAATTTAATATTTCAGATTGGGTTTTCTGATATGTCCTTTTATTGTTATTGAACAAAATTAAAAGTGGATTAAAAAGTTTTGCGTTGATTCTAAACAAAATATTTTCAGTATGTAAGAAACACTAGTTAATTCTCTATTTAAAAACCACATTTTCTTTCCACCTGACCAAGCTAGCTCGTTGGCTCTACTGTCCAAGAAATCATAATAATAAAATGTTTAACTCCATATTCTAATTTAAAAAAATTATCATTGGTTTGGAAGGTTCTTCAGGAGATAAGTCGCAAACCAAACTCTCTGAAGAGCTGCAATGTTAATCCGGAAAAAAAACCACATCTACTTAAGCTAATCTTGACTCCTAGGATAAGTTCCACACCCATAAAATCAATAGGGAAAGTTAAAAATCTAGATAAATGGGTCCAGCAATAGATGGATTCAACTGGGGAAACGTAAGGAGTTTTGTTCCCTGCTTGTCCTTCAAAAAATGAATAGTTTCATAAACACATAATACCATTCGAAATAAGAAGCAAACCAAACGACAGGATGACGTGTGATCAGTTAAAGAAGCTGCGGAAAAAACAACATCGTACTTGACCTAGGACTAGTTCCACTCACATAAAATCAAGAGGGATAGTTAAAAATCTATATACGTGGGTCCAGCAATAGATGAATTCAACTGGTGAAATGTGAGGAGTTTTGTTCCCTGCTTGTCCTTCGAAAAATGAATAGTTTCTTGACACATAACAGCATACGAGATAAGAAGCAAATCAAACCTCAGGGTAGACGTGTGACCTGGTAAAGAAGCTGCGAAAAAAACCACATCGTACTTAAGTCCTCTTGACTCCTAGGATAGGTTGCGCACATACACACACACACATAGGACATTAATCACATCACACACATCAATAGGAAATTAAAATTATAGATAAGTGGGTCCAGCAATATGAGTGATTTCAACTACTGAAATATAAAGTGTTTTCTTTCTCTGCTTGTACGTCAAAAAATAAATAGTTTCTTAGGAAAACAACAGCACGCGATGAAAAATAGATCATGTATTACGATAGATGTTGATTAGATTCAGCCGCATGGCATGCTACAAAACGACCGGGCCATCCATTTTTCTTTTCTACCGAGAGTATTAATCAACTCAACGACGTACTGTCATACGATCACCTAATACATCAAACTCTGATCAAAAAACAGCTTGATGAACAGTAAAGGTTGGAACCTCCTGATTGGTCCTGGGAGACTACCTGTTGTTTGGACGTAAAAAACTCAACTGGGGTCCTGGATAAGCTTAATGAACTTTATCAGCTGGAACGTCAGGCGTTTTATGTTTCTCTGCTCGCATGTCAAAAAAATCTAGACTCGAACAACTTATGCCGAAAAATTTATTGTGTGTCAATCTAGTTGTTAGATGACTATCAGCTTGGTCGTTGCCAAAACACCAGGTCAAACATTTCTCCTTCCCACCGATAGAGAAACAATCAACTTAACGACGTACTACCGAAGGATTGACCAAGTATATCAAAATTTGATCAAAAGCAGCGTGGAGAACTTACCTGTCCCGAGAAACTATCCGCTATTTTGAGCTAAAATGGGACACGTCCTGGGTCCTCCATGGCTAAACAAAGTTCAGCAGCTGGGACATCATGAGTTTTGTTTTATTACATAAAAATTACTCATTTCTTGAACTCATAGCAACTAAAGACCAAAAATTGAGCATATATCAATTGACGCCGATCAGATCAGTGGTTAGATGTCTGTCTGTCTGGTCTTTGTCAAAATTCCAGGTCATACCGGGAAACAATTCACCCAAGAACTGATTAGGGATGGTAACTCAAGTGCTACCAAGGAATTGACCAAATATATTAAAATTTGATGAATCAAAAGCGTAGTGGACTGTTGAACATTGGAATCATGTTACATGGTACCGCCGGAACAGAACAGTCTTCGAATTCATAAAAAATTATTTCCCTGATCTGCGTTATATAGACTATCTGCTTTTTGAAGATAAAATACTGGATAATTGTCAATGAATTAATGAACTTCAGGAGCTGAAACTTGAAAAAAAAACAGGTCATTTGTTGGGTGTCCAATAACAAAGACGAAAAATTATGAACGACAACATACGCTGATTAGGTTAATGTCGATCAGTCGTCTAGTTTTATGCCAAAACTAATTATTAATCATTGGCTACACGATGATCTGTAGCTGAGGTGATCAATTTTGCTTTTCTGCTTAGGGAGGAAACAATCAACACAATGAAGTACTGCCAAGAAATTGAGAGAAGGCATCACAATTCATCAAAAAGAGCTGCTGGCACTGGTGAACAGGAAAGGTGGTAATCCTGCTGAATTACAACGTCTTCATGTCTCAAGTGATGAAATATGTGAAATACCTTCAGGTAATAGAAAAACTACTTTCTAGTTAATTAAAAAATTTAATTTTGTAAGTATCAAAGAAAAATACTTTACTAGATGTAACATGTAACATGAAGAAAAAGTGAATTCACAAGAAACAGTCACAGAGGATTTATTTATACAGGATATATATAAACGTGTAATGCGATCTTTTTAGTATAGCTTTTTCTCCGGTATGAACTCTCTTACTGGAACCCTGGAAAAAATGCTGTTGCAGACGTCAACGATAGGAATTGCAGACGTCTCAGATACTAACGGAGCCACCGTGACCAGTATGAACTTCCAGTTTTTGTTGATCAGTGCGATCGTCCTCTCGCCTGAAATGTAAAATCTAAACTATTTCAAAATTTTAACTTTTTTTTCAACGCGATCCTTACTGAGGACTTTATTGCCGTTGAACAAGCCAGTCATATGGACCGAAACGTTTTCAGCGTCAGGGTGAAACATTGCTCGCTTCACCCTGATGTACTCGTGTCCCGATTTTCTGTATTTTTCGAAAAGCATTTTTATTTCAGCTTTGAAGCCCTCTTCAAAATAAAAATACAATAAAGTATTATACATTTATATGCAACGTAACCGTTCTGTTGTCTTACCAAAAACAACCGAGTATTCCCCTTGTCCTGATAAAGGGAAAAATATCAAAGTTCCATTAATCAAATAGTTTCCTTTTATCTTTATACGAGGCGAGCTCATTTGGATTTCCATTTTTTCCCAATCCGTCCTAAAAAAATTAATTATGTAGGTTTGTGTGATTTTTAAGAAAAGTTATTGTCAAGGATATAAGCTGGGTCAAACAGTTTATTTGAGTTTTCCTCCTAAAAGTGACGAGTTTTCCGAATAGGCAAATTTAAATTACCATGATAGATGTATGATTATATACTTACCAGACTGAATGGATGGTTGAGTTTCTTAATCCAGTTGTTTCAGAGTCAGAAGCGACAGCATACAAAGCCACTGGCTTGTGTTTTTGACTGTACTCCAATTTTGTGTATGGCCAAGGGTCAAGCGGTGGCACACCCAAAGATTTACTGCCTGTACAGAAATTATTATAAAATAAAACCTTCACTCCATAAACCCGGCTAAAAGTGATCTGAAATAATTAATTATTTTGCAATTTTGATGGAATAATTCTGCACCCTTGAGGCAAAACTGGATAAGTCAAAAAACCCAAATTTTCATGATTGCGATTTTAAAGTTAAAGTAGAATTATTAATTAATATTATTCAGGGCCTAAAAATAGGAAGTGGTTTCGACGTAATCAATTATGCACAGTCTGTCAAGCCTAAAGACATACTGGAATATGAAACATTTGGCCAAAATTCAACTTATCCAGTTTCATCTTAAGGGTGCAGAATCAATAAAAAACAACGAAAACCTCATTTTTCATTGCTCAATCCCAATACTTAACAGAGGTGATTGATTCTTGTGCAATATAAAGAACGAACAAATCATGAACTACTATCTGAGGGGGCAAAGAAGAAAAATAGAACAAGTCGTAAATAAAATTGTCACGGAAGCTGGATAATCGTGGAGAAGGAAGACTCAAGAAAAAGGACTGGTGGCGACACAAAGGGGAGGCCTTCGCTCAATAAAGCTTTCTGGGTCAATAACAACTCCTGGCACATATGATAAGGAAAACAAACCCAATTTATAATAGATATATAACTTTAATAGACTGAATTTGCACACCAATCAAAAGCACGTTCAACCGACTGTAAGGTCAGATATAATTCGAAGAATTAAAATCCCGAAAGTGTGAAAATAAGTTCTCTCTAAATTAAAAAAAAAAAAGACAAAACAAAGCAAGTAGTTTGCCACAAAACGGTCATAAATAATCTTGGAATAAAGATTTTTTGAAAGAACATGATCTTTTAACTAATTAAATTGGACGAAAAAAATTAAAACTATTTGGTCGATGGTCGCAACGCTCAAGGGCGTTGGCACGGTACTCGTCAGTGTAAGGTAAAGGTCCCGGGTTCGAATACGAACACGACATACTTACAAATTTTTTATTTTTTTCAAAAACGTCGACACCTTGAGGGTTGATACGACCTCTGCTGTTGTGAACCCTCGAATAACACATGTGAGTATAAATATTTTGATTAAACTAAAATTCATTTTTATATCAAACATAATCATTTACATTTTTTTTGGTATATTTTTTTACACAGATTTCATAATTGACACATGTTTGTAATTTACCCAGACTTGAAGCTGACCCGAATAAAGGTCGAAACGTAGGCAATTAAATAAAAAATGCGCATTTCTAAAATACATCTATTATGTTGATCTGATCGCTTCTCTCTACCTTAACCACTTATTATAGTTAATTTCTTGAGGAATTGATCTATCGGGTTGGTAATTATGTGTGACTACAATTAGTTCTTCTCATAAGACGTAGGGTGAAAGATGAGAATTGAATTGAATATATTATATGTAAAAGCTCGCAAAATTAGGCCTCATGAACCTCAAGAGAGAAACAGAGAGAGAGAGAGAGAGAGAGAGAGAGAGAGAGAGAGAGAGAGAGAGAGAGTAAAAATAGAGAAGGAGAGAGGGTAAGTTAGGAGATAAAAGAGAAAGAGAGGTACTGTGAGAGAATGAGTGAGAGACACGAAGGTAAAAGTGAGAAAAAAAGAGAAAGTAAGTTTTGAAGGAAAAGATAAAGAGAGGTTCAGTTAGTGTGAGAGAGAGTGAGAGAGAATGAGTGAGAGAGACAGAAAAGAGAGAGAAAAAAAGTTTGAACAAAGAAAGAGGGGGTGAGAGAGTGAGAGAGTAGGAAAAGTTAGAAAAAAAGAGAGAGGGGAGAGAGAGAGAGAGAGAGAGAGAGAGAGAGAGAGAGAGAGAGAGAGAGGAAATTGGATTTTATTAAATTTATTTTAATTTGATCATTTGATATTAGATTTATTTTAATAAAATAAAAAAATTATTTAGAGATCACAACAAACTTTGAAAAACCAGCTACATTTTTAACGGACTTTAAAGTTGACCTCTATTGAATAAAGTTCTCGCATGCATTGTGTGAGTTTGGTGGAAAATCAATGGCAGTCTCCTACCAACTAAACGACAACAAACCAGAGATTATGGCCAAAAAAGAGAATATTATTTTTTTAACGCTTCTCACACACGGCAGTATAAAAACCTGCCGAAAGAAAAAATATATATATATCATACTATCAATTTATAAATAGTTTTGGGTTTTCCACCTGTAGAAAATCTTAGGTTGGAATTATCGTTAGCCGTTTAGGTCGGAGGCAGTTTTAATATGGAAAAACAAATACAAATTAAAACAGGGAAAATATTTTCTCTTTTGTAATAACATTTACTACCGGTTTTTATTGGTCCTAGCTTAAATTATCATTATCGTGATATTTATCAATAGCAAATGGACGACGTCAATGATAATTATCATAGTCGACGAACAATTAGCCGTCAAATGTATTGTAAAATTATTTGCGTTTCAGAGCGGTTAATGAATTTGATTTACAGATTCAGCATATTGCTTCATACAATAGTTTTGAAAATAGCGCAATGCAATACTTACATCACTTTTTGACTCACACAATGTTTTAAAATTTTACAGTCTATATAATATAATATAATATGTCTTGGATGTTTTGTATCTACTACTACATACTATTAATCGAAATGGAGCCACTTTCCATCTTTATAATTTGCACTTTTTCTTTATTACAATGTATTCCTCTCAATCAATATATTTCCACGTATTGTTTACTTCCTTAGCCTAAAGTTTCTTTAATTTAGTCTAGTTTGTTATGTTCTACGGTCAGTGTTTTGTCAATGTGTTCTCAGCATTGGTCACTTCGGAAAATCATTTAAATTAGGATGCCAGGCCATATTGAAACAAAAACTACTTCATGATTTTTTTTAATAATGCGTAACAATATTCAATTTTACAGTTGATCTATTTCCGTTTTTCATTATTTTTACTGTTTTATATATATGTACAAGTTGAATGTTAATATGGAAAAATGCATGTCAACTTTTAACAATTTCATTCTTTCCTCTTGATAATTCGAACATCTCGATAATTCGAATTATTTTTCTGGTCCCTTGGGTTTCGAATTATCAAAAGTGGACCGTACATACAAAAAATGAATGAGAGAAAGAGAGAGAGAGAGAGAGAGAGAGAGAGAGAGAGAGAGAGAGAACAGAGATAAAACAAAAACAGACATAAAGNGAGGGAGAGGGAGAGGGAGAGGGAGAGGGAGAGAGAGAGAGAGAGAGAGAGAGAGAGAGAGTGAGTGAGAATGGAGTGAAAGGAGAGGGTGAGATAGATAGACCAATATAGATAGAATGATTTATATACAACTAATTATTCTTTTCTATATGTGTAAGATATTGGTTGAGATGAAAAAGTTAGTCGCGAGCGGGATTCGAACTGACAACCTTCGGCTCAATACGCCACTGCTCTAACCACTTGAGCCATTGTGACTATTGTCACTATTGTTCATCTCAACCAAGACCTTACATAAAAAAAGAATACTTAATTGAAATAATTAACATGGTAACAACAATTAGACCACTAAACATAAATGGAGATATATTCTTATATTTCGACCTCAACAGTTTAACTTATGATTTTTCCTTCTTGAAGGTGGGATAATAGGTCATGACCTATTATCCCACCTTCAAGAAGGAAAAATCATAAGTTACAGATATATTGATAGATAGGTAGGTAGGTATATAGATAGATGGATAGATAGATAGTGATAAAGGCTAGAGAGGTTGAGGGATCGGGAGAGATGAATGAAAGAGAGAGAGAGAGAGAGAGAGAGAGAGAGAGAGAATAAAATAATCGAAAGACAAACTGACAGATAAATAGAAAAAAATGTTTTGCCGGCCTGTCTTATTTCATCACACAATGAATGGATGTATGTTTCAAGAATACAGCCACATTATAATAAATATTGCCACTATTAATGTCAACTATATAAACCTGTAATTTGGTTGTTTACGCTATCTTTCTCCTGTGTTCGTCCGTCATAGGGGGTTCGTCATTTTTAGTGATGGTTTTATCTTGTGCGTTTAAATTTCTATCTAAGAACGAAGAAACTACATGTTTATCACTCCGCAGACCTCAAGAAGAAATCACTACAATCAATCAAAAATATAAAATATGTGTGTTACATACCGTTCGCTAAGTCTTTGATTGCGAGTTGCATCGCGTTTTTCAAGCACTCGTTCATTCCTGCCCCATGCAAGCATTTCGGCCAGTGGACGGCTTCGGAAATCACAGCGTTTTTAATGACAGAACCCATCATCGGCGATTAAATTCATATTCACTCATACTTACGCAATTTCACTGAAATGACAGAACAGGAGAACAACAGGACCAGCAATAGCATCTCGACACGAGTGGAAGTTGTTTGAGAGAATTTTATATATCAGGGAAATTCCAGCACGTCTAATCAACCTAATTTCAACAATCTCTTTCAGGCCATTAGCCGTGTTGTTTTGCAGTTTCGGCTTTCAATTTTTCCAATTTTTTTCTGATACGACTACTAGTCTTTTCCAGGTCCAATTCTATATTGCATAACTATGTAACCACATAAACGTTTATGTAAGGAATGACTTAACCTTATTATTCAGACTTACAGACTTACCATGTATACAATAACTTACAGGCAGACAGGAAGTAAAATGAAAAGTCATTTAGGGACAAAGGCGGAAAATCAAACAAAGCAATTCACTCCAGGCGGTGTTTGAAGGAAAAAACATGAGCATTAATTGCAAAAGTATTCAAAAGGCCCTCTCTTTTGATCTATCGGAGAGTCACAAAACATCTGCTTGACTGTCCAAAACCTGTGGACTTGGTTGCATGAACTTAAATTCCAATTTAAAGCACTTCACCTTTGCTATTGTACCGCTTTTTTTAAAGTATAATCGAACCTACGTCTTCTCGCGGCTTGCCAATCACCTATCACTCCGGTAGCTTGATGTTCAGGGTCGAATCTCTACCATTGAGGTTGGAATCCATCCCTCTCAAAGTCATTTCACCCCATCCCTTGCAGTTTTAACCTAAACACACTCACTTTTTCACTCATTTTTAAATACATTATTTCTTATTTACACTTACTGTAAGATGAAGGAATAATCGATATTCCTCATCATCCTTCACACTTATAAACATTACAAGTACACTAACTAATCGAATAGAAGGTCGATGGGGTACTTGATTCCGCCATCGACGCTCTGTACTACACACACATTCACGTTTATAAACACATTCTCACAAAACAGTTAACAAAGAATACATCTACGACCAAATTTATATTATATATATATATATCACGATCTGTTGATCTGAATCCTTTTTATGAGAAACAGAGCCCCAGAGGTCTTGATCGAACCTGAATACAGCCGATCAGGTGCCTTTTTATAATAAAATTTAATTAAAGTTTAAAAACAATTTATTAAAACACAAGAAAGTAATAATTAAAACCAATAAATTTCCTTTTAAATTTTAAACAAACAATTAAAACTTTTTATAACTTTAAATAAACAGTAATTTCCTACAAAGCGTCTGCCAGACCATTTAGAACAAGGGTGGATATGTACTCACTATTTCCAGTCAATTCGCAGTGGACCGAAGCACTCTATTTTAGGGAATACAACACTTTTGAGGATCGCACACTTCTCTTGTCACTTTGAAATCAATTCAAATGTGACATACACAACACTAAGATTACCTGCAATAAAAAACCTATATACCCTTGTTTCCTCCAAAAATTGAAATAGGAGCTTTTAATCATATTTTTAATCGTTTTTTTGCGACAGAGAGCCCTGGTAGTTAAGTTCGGAGGTACCAGCCTAGCCGCCTCATCAGACTTTTCGTTACCCCTGAAATTAAGACGTTATCTGTGAGACTTATGTTTGGCAGATCTGATGAATATTTGCCGAGTTTTAGTTGTCCTGGCCAATCAAACACCCATGTCATATAATCCAACATACATCACGACATGAAACTAAATTGTTGCTCATGTTAAAAAGTGGATTAATGAACTAACAGCACATTAAACTCGACCAGCCTCACTAAATAGAAAAAGTGCGAAATAATCAGTAAATAACAAGAAAATGAAAGGTGCACGGATTTCGTACTGGCAGCTAAAAAGGTGCTAGCTAAATGCACATGCTTTCAGCTCCAAATTAGTCTTGGATTCGAAAATTGCCAAATGGATCTAGGAAACACGTTTACCTTATGATGATTCTAGAACTTGAAGAACGAAACGGCTAACAAAAGAAGAGGATGCTCTCTCATGCGAGGTCGTCAACGTCAAAATGATCAGGGTCATCAAATGTTCGAGGTCGTGGCAGTTTATAATTTAGAGCAATAAACTTATTCTTATTCATTTTGTATTTTTATTCGTTTATTAAAATTGGCCTTATTTTTACAGACAATAAAGTAAAAGTCAGAGTTATTAATATTTTGCGTATTGATTGTACGTAATTGATGTAATTAAACACGCGAAAACTCATCAATGGTAGTAGTGTCGTTTGGCAGATATTTCTTACAGGACCATAAACGAGGCAATATGTTATAGATCACAGATAGTGCAGATTTCATTGAGCTTTGTTATGTATATTCGGTTGTAATTGTAGTATTTAGGGTCAGAATTTTGTGTAATGTGCCAATACCAAATTACAGTATTATTTTTTGATATTTCCTCATGTGGACTGCGGAGTGATGGACCTACAATTTGGTAGTTAGTTATTATCTTGGTCTGCTTAACCCTGCTAATTTTGCCTGTCAGACGAGTTTCGGCATTTCGCCTTCTTCAGTGTTGAGTCTGAGTATTTGTACGGAGTCTCCAAGGTGTCCGGACACAAACCCTCCACCAACCACGACCTCGAACATCTGATGACCCTGATCATTTTGACGTTGACGACCTCGAAACCGAAACTTCACTCCACACAAATCACCCATACTCAAGCGAGATGAGAGGTATCATATTAATCAACTGTGAGGTATTGTTGATTTCAAAAGGTCCGTGATAAAATAATTCAGAATTGCTATTATACACAGGATCCAAACACGAGAGAAATGGCCTTTTTTGGCTGCTGAAGTTGACCATTGAACTAGAACAAAAATAAAAGGAAGTGATCCAGGAAAGAGTTGGTATTTTCTATGGGAAATCTAAATTTATTTTTCTTGATTTTTGAAATGTATTTTGTATTATTCATTCTGGTTGGTACAATAAAAATGTATAATAGGCACTAAAAAATAAAATAAAAATAACAAGACTTTAGATAAAAAGAATAATTAATTGAAAAAATAACAAGGTTGTAGTTCACCATTTTGATGTTGTCGTCATAAATGCCGCTTGAGGCTGTCTAGAAGTAGGTAAGACGGGAAGGTAAATTTCGAACCTTATATAGGCAGCTGTAAAATTTTGGTATTTTTCTTAATCGAGGCTTTACCTGAAGGGTGAAGGCCTTTACAGCTCAGTTTTAAAAGTAAAACTCAAAATGATGGCGACAGTGAAACTTTTCAAACTAACAAAATCAGGTTTGTGTGTTGTCCAGTAGCACCCCGTGATCTGATTCTTTTTTGAACAGTTTTTCTTAATCTTTTTTTTAAAGTTTCGCCTTTGCCCAGGCCGAGTCTCCTGGCAAGTTCGTCAATCGTCAGAAACAAATACATTTACGTGAACGACGAAGAGAAATCAATGGCTTGGAAGGACATTAGCGACAGGGCGGCTGCTTCAATGTTCATGACTGAAATTATGAGGGGTTTGTATTTATTTTTTACTCCTTAAACTCTTTTAAAATTTAACTCTTCAAACTCACTTTACTGATCTCGATTTTATATAACTAGCTTTACAACCTACAGAACGAACCAACAAGACGGTACTACCCACAATGGAACCGCCATACTTATTCACACCTATCTTTCTCATTTCTTATTCCTGTACAACGCAGCTCCTTGCCTTCAACCTACCAAACCCACTTGATTTCATCATATGTTCCAACATACCCCATTAAACACTGAAACCCTATACTTCTGCCATGTAATCCGAGGAATTACTTTCTTTCGGAATATCTAAGCGAGTCATCGATTTTTATTTTTTTGGAGAGATGTAACACCTAAAATATCTGTTGAAACCTTTACCTTGAAAAGAGCCAGGATTGAATCCTATATGGCTATGGAGTAAGATGGACCAATATTTTTGCATATTTGGTTCTTTTTGTTCCATTTCTTTTTGCTCACAGTGAAAGTGCTCAGCACAATATGTTGTATTCCAAAAATAAATAAATAAAAATTATTCCAAATATAATAATAGTGATAATATTTGAATATTTATTCTGTTTCTGGTGTATTTTGTTCAGTTTTGTCTTATTGGTAAAAAAACAAAATTGTTTTTTATGGGCTTAGTTGCTAAAGGCATGTACTCACGATTTTTAAATTTTGAAAGTTGAAAGCGACTTAGTTAATTTTTGTTCACATGTTTCAATAAAAATTGATCAACTTTTGACTTACAAACCATTGAACATTTTTTCTTGTATGTCAATTTTATTCTACAATTTTTGAAATGAAAATTCGTGTCACAGGAAGAATTTGAACCCATGAACTTTGGATAGATACTCTGATGCTCCATCACTTGACCTACCGTACCTTTAATCCTATATGCTTTATTATACTAATAGTAAAAATAACACAAAAAATTATCAAAAAATAAAAGATTTAATTACATCAAATGTAGTTTTAACTACTTTAATTTTGTTCTTCAAATCAGCAATAGATGTCCTGTGTTTTCCATTTCTTTTATGATAGAACTCAATGTTTTCCTCTCACATCTTGATTTTTATATTCATCAAGTTTCATCATCATTAGGTCAAAAGAGTTATAAATCATAAATATCAGCAATATTTGTCAGACTAATTTTGCAATAGCGTATCCACCAATAATAATTAATATTTTTGACAATAGAACTATATAAAAATATAATTATATTTATAGGTTGGTGAGTCCAAAGGTAGAAATTCTTATAAATTGTACTAATTTTAGCATCTCACATCGAGTTTACTTGAGGTTGATTGTTTTTCTTATTAACTATTATTTGCAGGTACCGCAGTAGCCAAGTGGTCAGCATGATAAACTGTCGGCTGAAGACCCTTCGGCCGTGGGTTTGATTCCCATCATTGCCCCTGCTGGCCCTTTTTTTTATAATATAACATTCCTTGGCTAATGTTCAAAGTTCATAAAGTCATTTAAAAGAATAATAATGCTTCTATTATTATATAATTATATTTTTACTTAAATTAAGGTTGTTTCTTATTTTAGTACAAATCCTAATAGGTAAAAGATTGGATTTTTTTTGCTCCTTTTAGGTCTCATGGTAGCTTTGGGCCACGTGTTTAAAGAACCGGCAACTATTAACTACCCATTCGAGAAAGGTCCGCTGAGTCCAAGATTCCGAGGAGAGCATGCATTGAGGAGGTACCCATCTGGAGAAGAAAGGTGTATCGCTTGCAAGCTGTGTGAAGCCATTTGTCCAGCACAGGTCTTTTTACCTCACTAATTTACAAAAAAATTTGTTACTGTTTATGATGTTTCAGGCTATTACTATTGAGGCGGAAGAGAGGGAAGATGGCAGCAGAAGGACAACTCGCTATGACATCGACATGACAAAGTGCATTTACTGTGGTTTTTGCCAAGAGGCATGTCCAGTTGATGCTATTGTTGAGGTAAATACAACCTATCTGTTACCCAAATGTAAATATTACATATTACAAAAAAAAAAAAAAAAAAAGAATATGTGCTAAAGTGGGTGTTACCAGCTACTTAAACACATTGACAGACTCTAGGCTCACTCATATAATTTTTTTACTAGTATGAAGACCATTGTTTGGATCTGAGGCACTATTTTCTATTCATCAGGATTTTTATTTATTTGATTTTTTAATTTAAATTCTTTCTATTTCAGGGTCCAAATTTTGAATATTCAACGGAAACTCACGAAGAATTGCTATATAATAAAGAGAAACTTCTTAACAATGGCGACAAATGGGAATCTGAGATAGCTACCAACATCCATGCAGATCACCTTTACCGATAATTAGCCTGTTTTAATTTGTAGATATGTAATTAAAATTTGGGGATTGGATTCATCCCTTTGAAAATTAAAACTATTACGTTTATTTTAAATGATATTAAATAATAATAAAAGTAAATGAGGATAATGAGGGCAATTTATTTATTTTATTTTGGGAAATTTCTGCTCGTCGTTTATGATTTACCTTTGAGTCTCAAAAAATAGTCAATGTTAACAATGTTTTTCAGCGTAACATAAATCTGAAGTTAGAAAACCCTGTTTATCCCTTAAAAATCTTATAACTGTCAAAACTTTTCTCAGATGCAATTAAGTGGCTAAGTTTCTTGACTGCACCCTCACCCTTAAAATCAATTGTCCGAACTATCGTGTTTTCAAAGTTGTGGTCTTTAAATCTTCCTGTTGTCGTTTTTGTAAATAATGCAGCACTTTGGGCTGAATGGATTTGAATGCATGAGGTATCGTCTGATGCAGAATTTCAAGTAGACGGGCCTGAGAGAATGGGAAAGGCTGAAGACCCCAGTTCATTTCTTGCTAACTTTTTAATAAAGCCAATGATACCTGCTATTAATGTGTCAACTGCTGTTTTTGAAATGTGGTTTAACGTTTAAGTTTAACATCAAAAACAGTTAAAATTATGTTTAGATGTAAAGACATGACGCTGACTTTTTTATCTCAACTAAGACCTTACATAAAAAGAATAATTAATTGAAAGAAATAACTTGGTCAATTAGACCACTAAAACATAAATGGTTTAGATGTAATGCTGAGAACCAAAAGCAACTATACTGTACTTGCAACAGGTTGAATTTTATTGACGGTATTTTTTTGTTCATAACTTGGCAAGAAAAATTAAATATTAGAAGTATCGACTACTTTTTCACTTGCGAACACTCTGGATCAAGGCACGGTCTTGAAGAAGAAGAAAGCAAATTTAGTTGCTAATGCCAAGCTTGCGATCTATTTTAAGGTCATCATCAGGGCAAAATGACAATCCTTGGCAATGTTGGGACTGAATCGGTTTCAAAGAAATTAAAAAAAAAAAATTAAATATGTCAATCTGTTGAGTTTTTTAAGGTTGTTTTGCTCTGATGACCTTCAAATAGGTCTAAAGCTTGCATTAGAAATAAATTTGTTTTCTTCTTCTTCAAGATCAACCTTGATCCAGAGTGTTCGAAAGAAAAATTAACACTGTCTTAAATATTTTAATGCTAAATCATGAAATTCTCTTTTCCTTCCTTGTGTATCATAAACTCAACTTTGAAAATATGTTACAATTAATTAAGGTTTTCATTTGAGATAAAAAGTCAATGGCACGAGCGGGACATTTGAAAAATGGCAAAAAGGAGGGAAAATTCAAAAGGTGTGGTTGAGATGGGAGATTGGTGTCCCAGTGGATCGAGGTCACGATAGCTCAAGTGGTAAAGCAGCGGCGTATCAAGTCGAAGATCGAGGGTTCGAATCCCGTCGTGCCATTGACTTTTTTATCTCAACTGAAAACCTTAATTAATTGTAAGATATTAATTGGTCAAGCGGACCACGAAACTAGTGAATTTGAAAATATGTTGTGTTTATGGAAATGATGATCAATAGCGATTTTCTTCTTTTAAAAAATATAATAATAACTTTAAAAAATAATAATTGGTCAGTTTTGTTTATTGATAGTATAATTTTAGTTGTTTAATTATCATGTTAATGATAATGTCAAATCGCTTTTGACATTTCTAAAGCATGTCTCCAAGCGATCCGTATTACCTTAATTACAAAGGTTGAAAATAAATAAACAACTAATTTCATGTTATTTTAACGATTTTTTCCGGAAATTTAAAACATTTATTTACGGCATTTATCCCTAATTGGTTCAGAATGAAAGTATGAAATTCCATCGGGGGCTTCTTTTAACGTTCAATTATTCGATAATTTCACTGGAAGAAAACGACGATTTGGTTGCAAATAAATTATGAAAATCTACGATGTACAAAAGCATAATCGATTAATACTGGTTTTTTCTCATCTGTGGCTTCAACAGGAGCATGACGTCCAGGTGTAGATGTGACCTATTGAATGATACTTTTTTGGTGCTAGGTCGACAAATATTAGACTCGTGTTCGACCCGTTTTGCCAATGAGCTATAGGGGCCTTGAAAAAATTAAGTAATTTAAATCTGTTTTATTTAAATCTTTTATTTAAATATATACGTAGACTAAGAAAGAAGAAAATATGCAGATCGTATTTAAGATTTTTTCCCTTCTTCTTGCATTCGTTCCATGCAGCAAGTAAAACATACAGTATATACACATAAACATGGAATAAAGAACAGCCGTTATTACATCAATACAATGAGTGAGATCGACACCATCCTCGGAGACCGATGACAATAGTGAGGATGTCGCGGGGCCACCGAAGCTTCAGTTTCCTGTGAGGATTATTAGGTAACGCGGTGGATGACAGGTTTTTGCCGAAGTTCGGATGATGGGGGATAGGAATGGGATCTTCCGGTATTTAGCGGGTATTTACATTAAATTATATCACCATAGCCTTGGGGTAAGGCGATTCGCGATTTGCGTGCTTCAAGAACGGGTTTCCCTGGTACGACGGCATTTTTTAGCTATCGCTGGGCTTTTGCATAAGGGGTAGATGAGTTTTGGACGGTATGGATGGAGTGATTGGAAACATAAAAAAGAGCGTTGGCTATTGTGTCTTAGGTTTTAGATTGAAGGGATTGAAATTCGATTAAGGTTGGGACGCTTTCCAACACCGTAAAGTTCAAGTACGGATGTCCAAATCTTAAATGATATTAAACATATAAATAGTTACAAAAACCAAATAACGCTTCTAGGTAGGTCAAAAAAATTTGTTTTTGACAAAAATAAAAATAAAAACTTAATTTGGGTTTGTTTTGATCACCCTGGAAAACTCTTTAATACGAAATTTCATCGCTATAAGAAAATAGACAACTAGATTCCCTAGTTTTTCCTTGTCCGGTGTTCCACTTGAAATCCACACCTCCGGATTTTATCCAAGTTCAACTTTATTACCATATCCATTATATTTAGTGGTCTATTGACCAAGTTACTTCTTTCAATTAATTAATGTTTTTACGTAAGGTTTTGGTAGAAACGAAAAAGTTAGTGTTACGAGCGGGATTCGAACCCGAAGGTCGTGGGTTTTTGGGGCTTACGTAAAAAGATTAATTTTTTTACCATAGTTAGAAAGCTTAATTTCTCTTCTTTCAACCCATGCCATCACGGCTTAGATTTTATACCAGTAAAAGCTGGAAAAATAAGAATGTACAAAACGTCCTGGCATGTTTTGTTTTATTCCTCCAATAATAAATTATGTACTTTTATGTTTATCTAAACCACTGCAAAGTTTCATGTAGGTCTGTGCAGTCCTTCCAATTTTATCATCATTTGTGAGGTTTTTGTGAAAAAAATTGGAGGCATTTTTTGAAAGGAAACAATTTAATATTTTTTATTTTACCAAAAATTTGTCCTAATTCTTTATTCCTTGCTAAAGCAATATTTTAACTGCCTATGCACAAGCACAAAAAAATCTGGGGGGGGGGGCAAATTTGATCAAAAATCATTTTGATCCTGAGGATCGTACGTTAAAATTTTTATATGCAAAATATTTTTTAGTGTCTCCAAATTGTTTTTGTGTATGATTTCTGGATAATTTATTTATGTGTCGATTTTTGTGTATGTTAAATAATGAATCTGTGAATGTTTGAGACTGATGTGGTTTTCCTCTGCATATGGTCCGGTAAGGGTTTGTTCCTTTGGCGCATTAAACTTTCATCGGCTGATTTTGATTTTTTGATCTCTAACTAATTTGTTTCCTGGACGATATTCTCTTCCTTTTATCACCATAGCCTTGGGGTAAAGCGATTCGCGATTTGCGTGCTTCAAGAACGGGTTTCCCAGGTACGACGGCCTTTTTTCAAGCTAATCCTGGACTGGGTTGCATAAGGCAGGGCTTTCCAAAATTTTTATCCAGTGGACCCTTTTAACAAAAATAAAATCCAGGGCGGACATCCTCGCGTTCAAGTAGTTAAAATTAGATACTTTTAATAAATTAAAGTTTTTAAATTAGCCAGCCCATTCCTAATAAGGTGATGGAGAGGGTTGTCACTATGAAAAAAAAAAAAAAAACAACACATTAGATTGGCAGACTTAAATTTATTTACAAAATTCGGAACACAAAAATAAAATTGGTCAGAATCAATAGATATGTAAAACTCGAGCTAAATTCAAAAGTAATAAGTTGAACATTAATTATTAATGAATTAATGGGAAGAGTGAGGTTGTTTTAGCCCGCACAATTAGGAAAATATTGGGTTTAATTTTTCATAGCTGGATTCAAAAATTCATGTCTAGATGTCGGGTTCAGTATCTAGACAGGTTCTCATTTTCGGGGGCAGTACAGATAGAAAATCCTGATTTGCCTATAGAAGAACACGATTTGCTTTTTTCGACGAAAGGTCGAAATTTTTTGTTTTCCAGAGAGAGTCCAAAAATGGGATAACTATCGGACTCGAAAATAGATTTCAAGGTGGAGTCTGAAGTAATGTCAATCAATCATTCGATCAAATATAGACTGGTTGGCTTTGTCGAAATTGGAAACGGTTTGACCAGAATTGTATCCGGAGCGGTAGGGAAGTAGTGCGCAAAGGAGATTTCCAAATTTTGAAGTATTTCATCTATCGACGTGCTGTTCGCAAGTTCCAATTTATTTTCTTGTAAAAAATCATTTAACACAGGAAAACACCCAACCTCTTCCTTCTCAACGGATTCAACCCAAAACTGGATTTTTCTTTTGAAGGCGTGAACTTTACCATTAGCATCGTAACTTGTGATACTCTTCCTATGCAAAGAAATACTAATTTAATTCATTTTAATGGAAAAATCTGATAAATACGACAGAATACATTGATGATTGAATACAATGATCATTGAATTCGTTGGTCAATTTGACTAGTGAGATGACTTCAGAACGTAATTCTTGTAGTTTTGAAAGTGCTTTCGCACAAGAAGGCCTGACTACTGTATGGTAAAGCTGGAAATGGTGAAGCTT